AAACAAAAAAAACTTCCCAACTCAGTTGATGGTAACTCCATCTTTCCAGTTGCTCAAGATGATAACTTTGGAATCATCCTGTGTCTCTCACATCAACATCCAATAGGTCAAAAATTATTTCAGCAATGCCTTCAAAATATATTCCAAACCTGCCCAGCCAGAATGGCTCAATGATTGAGTGTCAGCCTATGAACCAGGAAGTCATGGCTTGATTCCCGGTCAGGGCCCATGCTTGGGTTGTGGGCTTGATCTCCAGTGTGGGGTGTGGAGGAGGCAGCCCATCAATGATTATCTCTCTCATCATTGATGTTTCCATTTCTGTCTCCTCCTCCCTTCCTCTCTGAAATCTATGAAAATATTTATATATCTAAAATCCAATCACCTTATATCACCTTCACTTGCACAACTCTGGTCCACTTGCACAACTCTCTCATTTGAATTATTATAATAGTTTCTTAACTAGTCTCCTTGCTTCTGCCCTTACCCCGTTTAAGTTTATTTACTTTTTTAAAAAATTATTTTTAATCCTCACTGTAGAATATGTTTTTATTGATGTTAGAGAGTGAGGAAGGAAGAGGGAGAGAGAGAGAGAAACATTGATCAGCAGCCCTCGTCCTTGAACCGACAGGGGATGGTACCCATCACCCTTTGGTGCCTGGGACAATGCTCCAACCAATTGAGCTATCTGGCCAGAGCCAGACAGTAATTTTTTTTTTTTAACTCACTCTACCTCATCTAGACTATTCTTGCTCACGATGACAGGCCACACTGGCCTCCTTGCTATTATGTACTTGAACACTGTAAACTAATTCCTGGCTGAGATTCTTTGCATTTGTTCTTCTCTCCTCTTGGAAGGCGTTTCTCCAAGATATCACCAAACTCTCTTCCTCACCTCCTTCATAATTTTATTCAAAAGCCATTTTCTTATGAAGCCTTCCCAGACCACCATATTTAAAATTGCAAATAATAGCACCCATCCTTGTACACTTACTCCAGATCCCCATTTTCTGGTTTATTTTCCATTACAGCTCTTATCATCATCTGAAGCATTATATTTTTACTTATTGTATGATTTATTAGAATTTGAGCTTTATAAAAGAAGAGTCTTTTGTCAATTTTGTACACTGGTATATACAAGTGTATAGAAATAGGGTATTTATGACATGAAGAAGAGTGCCTGCAATATAATTGGCACTCAACAAGTACTTGTTGAATAAACTAATAGAGAACTGTATGGTTATCTTGTTCCAAAAGAAGTTTAGTGGTTGCAAAATACTACAAGTTACCCAAGTTCTTTAGGACCTACATTGGCAATTCTAATATTACCAGGAAGATCATTTAATATGACCTCAATATTTGTTCACTCATTGAATGATTTAACAAACATGTTGTTAGTCAATCCTCTAATAGCTATTTATAGTGTACTCACTAAATGTCTGTCTTTGTTTGGTACTGAGGATGCAAAGGTGGAGCAGATAAATCTGCTCTTGAAAAGCTCTAGTTGTTTATCTGCTTCTCCCAAGAAGCAGACAAGCAAGTGGATAATTATAACACAGTGAGATAAGTGCTATGACTATATAAGAGATAATGAGGGCATAGAGGAGGGGCACCAAATGACTTGGGGAGGGGAAGACTCAGGGAAGGCTTCTTGAGTGGATGGGTACCTGAGTTGATTCTTGAAGTAGTAGTAATAGTCAGATGAATGATTGCATGAATGAATGTTGATGAGACGGGATGAGATGGGGTCTAAAGCAACTCCAAGGACCCAGAGAACTGGAGGGAAGGATTTGGACATGGATGCAACTAGAGATTGTAGTTGCTGGGTTTGGGTAGTGGGGAGAGCAATGAATCGAATTTGAGGGGATTTCTGGCTGCTAAGCTTATTTTTTCCCCATGAAGTAGAAATTGAGTTCATTTTCAGGGTGTGAGAGGATAACTATTTGGGAATATTACAATATAATAAACTTGGTGGATTACTTTGGGTGTGGTGTTTGAAAATCTTAGCTAATGACTTTCATAAAGTTCCTACGTTTTTGATATCTAAGTCTGTTTGAAATATGGGTGTCATGCACATTGCATAAATCTCTTAACTGCTTTTGCCTAGTCCATAAGTGCAAGGGTTATCTTTTATTCTTAGGATATATGTAAAATTGTTAAGACAGAATTTTCCATTTTCCAGGTTCTTGCTATAATATTATTCGGATTCCTCCAGAAAAGGGGGATCTTGGAGATACAATCCATGGAGCCCAAGTGATATGTTCGATTGCTTCTGCACCGAGTTTTAAACCTTCTTATTACCATAGTTTTGGTGAGTCCAAAGATGAAGCAAATTCCAATGGGGCCTGCTTTAGTGTCACAGTACCTGAGGCAAATACTATGTTAATACAGTTTATCAGAGTATAGTAACATTTTGGATCAAGGTTGCATTTTAATGCCACTTAAATTTATTCTTTAGTAATAT